GGCCAGCAGTGTGCTGGCTTGCGCAGGGAGTAAAATGCAAAATAAAACAAAACTGCCCTTGATCTCTAAGAAAAATAACAGTTGAAGAAAGAAGTGTAGGCTAGCTCCAAAGAGCAGAGCTGAGATGAGAAATGTTTTGCCGTTTGCATTTATACATTTTATCTGTGTTGCTAGGGAAAAAAATAATCAAAAGAAGGTGTAGTGAAACTAGATAATAATTGATATCCTCCTTTTGGCAACAAAAAAGAGACAGACAGAGTCAGTTGTACCTAATGGAGGTTTCTGCTATGGAAATTTGTCACCTACATGTTTGTCTCTGCTCTGGCTTCTGTGGGAAGGGACAATGTTTGTAAGCTGATGTCCTGGTGCTTCTGTGAGGGAGAGGCAGCTGTGTTTAAGTAGGGTCTGAGGAGGAGATGGGGAGTGTGGAGCTCTGACAGCTCCAGTCTCTTGGTGGCTCCATCCTGCTCTGCCCTTTCCATGGGATTTTTTTTTTTGTCTTACTTGTAAGGTGGCTGAATCACTTCAGAGTAGCACTGCATTCCAGTGCAAGTGTGCCAGCACTCTCTCAGCTCTCCATTCCCAGTGAAGGCATCACTTCCCAGCAAAGGATATCCAAGAGAGGGAAAATAATGATGGTTATAATGCAAGCAGGAAAGCCCCCTTTGTACTCTGTGGCAGCACGTTGTTTATGACAGAAATAGATGTTGAACTGCATCAGTAGGATATTTGCATTCAAAGCACAAGGAAAGCACACGTTTGACCTTTTTGCTGTTTATTAATTTCCTAAACTATGCTAACTTTGTGCAATAAATTTGTTTCTAAGAATGCTTTTTTGAAAAGGGGCTACTGTTAAACATGAAATGCTCTGAATTTTAAGAATTTCAGTGTACTGCAAATGTGGAAATGAGCTTTGATGTTTTGACTAGTTTCTTGCATGATAACCTTGAGGTATGGGAGTCTTTTAAATCAAGTGGCAACAGGTAATGCTGGGTCAGCATTTGCCTTAAGAAGAGTCCTGATGTTCAGGTCTGGGTGCATCAACTGTGAACACAGGTGATTTGGGCAGAAATGTGTGTTACATGTATTTTGATAATTTTGTGTTCTTCAAATTTTTAATACTAGAATCTGATACAGTTACCTGAGCTAACAGAATGTTATTCCATAAAAATAACATAAATTTTTTGCAAGTGCTTTTCTGTTCAACACAGTTAGATAAGTAACAGAGAAACCTATTCAGGCTTCATCCATGGGAGGTGAAGAAAGAGAATGGGACCACCCGGGTCCCATTTAAGCTCCTGGAGCTTTGCCATTGACTTCAGAAGGAGCAGAACCCAACCCATTCTTTTCAGGAGGCTGCGAGTTAATTAATGACCATAGAACTGGTATAGCTATTACTTTTCCAACTGGTTAGGTGCCTGGACAATTACAAACTGTGACTATTGGGAGATCCCATGGCAGAAATGAAGGGTAGCAAAACCAACCAGGCCTAGTGGTATCAGTGGCCCTTTGGGGATGCTGCACCAGCAGGAATTATAAAGCCAGGAGAGTGCATTGTAAAAGTAGATGCTGTCATCATCTCTGGGTGTGCCTTGGCTGTGGTTGGCATGCAGTGAGGCATTCTTAGCTAACACCATCCAACTAATCCATTCCACGTCACTAAGGCTGTGATTTTTTTCTTTTGCTCATTCATTTATCACTTCTGGTGCTGGCCATGGGTGGGGCAGGACACCCTAAGGAACCAGGGACTGATCTGGTCCACCTGTTTCTTTTCCCCTCCCCAGCCACATCTTTTAAAATATTGTCTCTGCTTAAGCCAAAGCTGCCACATCTGAAGCAGGTAATTACCAGGGGCAGGAAGTCCTAAAAATTACCCTTGGAAAGAGGTGGGGAATCAGACCCTAAAAGGCCAAAATCCTATGTTCCAGTGGCATAAGTGATTCCTTGACAGGACACAGAGTGTAGAGGAAGGAGGAGGTGGTAGGTGAGGGGCCAAGTGTTCACTGTCATTGGAAGCTGAGAGACATAGACTGGCTCAGTCTCTCCAAAGCAGGAAAACATCCCAACACCTTTTGTCAGAATTAATTTTGGGAGAAGGTGTTCACAAGCATTAATAACCATTATCAAGCTCTACTTAAAATCCAACAGACCACTGAAGAGTGGGAAGCTGAGCGTTATCACTGCCTCTTCATCTTATTCTCTGACTTTTCTTGTTTTAAGCCTTTCTTAATAGTTTCATTTAGCAATGCCATTATTCAAACTACTATTCCTCTTTTTCTTGTTTGTTTCTTTATTTGCCAAGTCCATGTAGTTTGCCATATGTTTGGTTAAAGTAAAAATCAGACTTACCAAAGTTTGTAAAATGCCAGCAGCCCCATGATGAGCAAAGTCATACTCTTACAAAGCACTGTTGCAAAAGATGGACGGCAAAACATTTTTAGCAAGGAAACAGATTTCAGTTTCAGCTACACAGGGGTTATTATACCTAACAGTAAGTAAAGCCATTCATTTTAAGACTTTGGAAGTGACAATGACAGTGCCTGTCTTTTCAAGCATGACTGTTACCAGACTTAGAATTTTCTCAAATTTCCTGGCATTATTTCTTCATTTGTGTTGCACGCTGAACATTTTATAATGGCATTGGAAAACAGTTTACATGTGATAATTTTTTTAAATAAAAATGTAGACTATTGCATATTGCGCGAAAAATAATTCTTTTTCTGTCTAAAATGTCAATATTTTTAACCTGAAATAAACCTTGTAATAAATTCATGTATTCTGGGCAGTGGAAATTATTTCCGTTAACTCTCTTTTCTGCATATCATCAATTTGCTTTTTACTCATGTTTCTCCTACTGTCGCTGTAAGCTTACTTGTTGTTTTTTCTTTCCTTTTCTTCATGCTGTCGTTTAGAGCCCTACAGAGAGACAAGTATGGGAGTAAAGCTAAACATTGCATATCAAATGTAATTTTTTTTAGTTCACTTTTATTGCATCACATATAGATGATGTAGTTAATAAAGGAAATTAATCTCACAGTTTTGAAATCAAAAGACTATGAATAGACATGTATATATATATGTGTATGCGTGTGTATGGATGTATGTATATATATATGTATGTGTACATATATATATATAGATGAGATTAGAGGATGCTTCCTTTGTTTATTTCTCATTTTTGTGGTATCGTTTACCCAGCATAGTTTCTCGTTTAGTTGTGTATGCTTTTTTTTTTTTTTTCCCAACTTCATGTTTTTATTTGCGAGGTCGTGGCATTTTTATACGGTGTGTTTCATTGCAGCCCCCACTCTGTTCTCACCTGCAATGCCTCCCATTTTATTTCTGCACCGAACCCCAGATCCATGCATTGGCAGCAGGAGCGCAGCGCTCGGTGCCTCAATGCATACGTTACTCAACGTAACCATCAAACAGATGCTGTTGTACCTGTCACCCATTACATACAGCCCTCCCCCAAAAATGCTCACTTTTCATTTCTCCCCAAGCATCGTGACTCGGTTGGAGAGCTTTCACCGTGAAAATCAACGGCTTTGCTCTATGTCTGTGATGGCTAGTTGATTTTTTGGCATAGCTCCCTCGTTTTCTGGGGAACCCAGGATACAGCAGCACCCTCTAAGCTTCAGAAACCCAAAAGGTGACGGACACATTTGGGGCATTTCATTCAAAAGCAAGAAGAAGCCTTCAGTAGTGCTTTCCAGCCCTTGACATGCAGCAACTACTCCATCGCAGATATAGACTGAATCCTGTATTTTCAGAAGGTACACATGCCATGTACTAAGCATGGTATGAGCAACTGTTCATCTGAAATTGTCAGTTTAATGGCTTCTCTGATCCACTGTGCCTTGCTGGGAGTTGCTTGCCAGTTTTTGGCAATGCCTGAAGCCCTTAGCTGAGAGGTCAATAAGTTATTTCATGCATCCCCATGCCTGCTCTCCTTCCAAGGAGACCAGCGATCCCAAAAACAAAAACATGGTGGCTTAACTGCTGGGCCTGATTTTCTTCTCCCTTGCCCACCCATGCTGGCATTGCTCTCAAAGCACTTCCCTGCCATCTCCCGTAGTGCTTTGGGAAAGAGCTGAGCTCCAGCCTCACATTTGTCAGCATTGACACACCTATGGAGATGCAATAGGCAGTTAGAGTGGGGACATCCCGAGACCCTGCTGCTCCTCTCAGGTTCCCATGAGCCCACCATAGCATGGCACTGATGGTACTTCCTGTACCCTCTGCTGAACCCACTGCTTTAACTTTGCAGGTGGAATAGGAGCTATTTTTAAAGGCTTCACAAGACCCCAGAACAGCTGCCTCCAACATCAATTGTATTAGAAAATCCCCACCTGGCCAGTGTGGAGTAAATAATTTTGGTTGTGCCCTTAAGCCAGAAGAGGTAGGGCATTTAGCCTTGTTCCAGAAAATCCTGGGCCAGGAAGCACTTTGTGCCTCCCCCTTGCTACTCCCTGAATCCTGCCCTTCAGTCCTTATGTCTTTATCCTGACAGCCTGCCCAGCGAAAGGGGAGAGCAGACTATTTTTCCTCTAGGAAGGATACACTCCCAAACAAAGCTTTGGTAGTGATCAGCCTGGGCTGCAAATACTTTTCCCTCAGCTGGGAGGAATTGCCCCCTTCCTCCAAAGCTCCTAGAGCCAGGGCAGTTGGGACCACCCCAGGGTCATGAATTTTTCAGCTCCCCCAGGAATACATAGAGCGCAAGAGCTGTAGGAGAATGCTGGCCAGGAGAGGTTATCCTTCCAGCTGGATGTTTCCACATCAAGTCACACACTTGACAGTGCTTTCCATTTTTTTGGTGGGAAGCCCTTGACCACCAGCTGGTTAGATGGAGCTGCGCCCTCCCGTTTTGGCTGCGATGCTCTCCTTGCTGCCCAGCCCCAGCAGCTGCGGCAGCCTAGGAAGGGGGTTTGAGTGTGCACATCCTGCATGAGTGTCCTGTTTGTACAAGTCACCCTCTCTTGTGTAATGTTTTTCAGAGGGGCTTCTGAACAATGCCAGGGATACAAGTGTCACGGATACTCTACCACTGAATGGTAATCACGGCAACAGCTACAGCATCGCCAGCGGCGAGTACCTCAGCAACTGCGTGCAAATCCTTGACCGTGGGTACAACCACACGGAGAACGCCCTCGAGAAAAAGATCCTGAAGGAACTCACCTCCAACTACATCCCTTCCTACCTGAACAACCATGAGCGCTCCAGCGAGCAGAGCCGCAACTTGATGAACAAACTCGTCAACAGCGTGGGCGGCGGGAGCGAGGACGATGCCATCGTGCTGGATGACGCCACCTCCTTCACCCATGAGGAGAGCCTGGGCCTGGAGCTCATCCACGAGGAGTCGGACGCCCCACTGCTGCCTCCCCGGGTGTACTCGGCGGACAACCACCAGCCCCACCTCTACAGTCGGCGTCGCATCCCGCAAGACAACAGCGAGAGCTTTTTCCCTTTGCTGACCAACGAGCACACGGACGACCTCCAGTCGCCCAACAGGGATTCTCTCTACACCAGTATGCCCGCACTGGCTGGCATGCCCATGACGGAAAGCGTCACCGCCAGCACCCAGACCGATCCTCCACCAGCGAAAAGCGGCGGTGGCGATGCCGACGACGTTTACTACAAAAGCATGCCCAATCTTGGCTCCAGGAACCACGTCCATCAGCTACACACTTACTACCAGCTAGGTCGAGGCAGCAGCGACGGTTTTATAGTCCCGCCAAACAAAGAGGGAACCTCTCCGGACGGCAATGCAAAAGGACCCGCTCACTTGGTCACTAGTCTATAGAAGATTCAGCAAAAATTAAACAAAGAGACAACTAAAAGCCTCTCCGTAACACTCGGTTTACTGTTCTGAGTTAATCCAAACAGTGGTAATATTGTGTGTACTCCTAAATCTTCATGCTGTTCAAAAGGAAATTCTCAGACTTTTTTTACTGGAATTTTTAGGCCGGCCCGGAGAGGACAGTAACTGCTGTGCCCCCCTTATCTTCCCATCCTTCTTCCCTCCAGACAGACTTCATTATGTTAATGAAAGAGATAGATAACGGCACACTTCGTGGCCTTCTCAAGTTATGCCGTGTTTGTTTAAACAATCCCTGATGCTGTGTTGCTCTTAATACCAAGGACCTGATTTAAGAGGGAAAAAAAATAATAAAAGGCCAAAAATGTGCATTTGAAGCTAGTAGCGATGACGCATCTAGGTGGGAGTGCTGCGTAAAACAAGCTAGCAAAACTCTTTCTTACCAATCCAGGTCACACCATGGGTTATGGTCACTCACAACTTGGTTTCACTGCAGCGCCCTTCGCTGCAGGAGCAAACAAAACGTAAACAAATTCAATGAGACGGAAGGGAATCCTAGAATCCTGTGCTAAAGGCATATTTTACATTTTGCTGTATTAACGGATGATAAAAACTAATGGCAGAAAAAGAGAAGCGAACAATTTCTATGTAATGTACAGATACTAGCATTGCACATATAGTCTGCTTTCTGTTCCTCCAGAACTTGCGTCCCTGTTAATGTAGTGGAAAAAAAAATAAGAACTTTTTTCTGTTGTGCTGGTCTTGTAAGTTTGTCTACCAGTAGGAGCAAGGTTTTTCATAACTCTTTCCTTTATTTTTTTTTTTAATTTTATTTTGCCTCGTCCACTGCTCCTTCTCTCTGTCCCCTTCCCATCCCAGTAAAAAAACTCACTGAGCAAAAAAAAAAATCCCCGAACATCACTTTCTAAGGACCATTTTTAGTAACACCATCACCATTTCTTTTCAGCCAAGGCAGCCTTTTAATTTCCTCGCTGTATAACCTTTTTCAGCCGGCATGTTGCCAGCAGACCTTTTGGCAGACTAGAGCAGGGCAAACTTCCTCATTGTCAGTGCACAACCCATCGTGACGATAATCCTGTGAAGCATCTCTGGCCAACAGCCCCTCAGCCCGGCCCCTGGGTCACATCCAGGGATTGGGAGGAGGTTCTGTAGTTGTAGTGGGGGTTCTACAGGAGACGGCCATTTCCCTGGAGGAGCAAAGGGCCTTCTTGGCTCAGTCTGGTCCCCGGTTTAGGCACTTGTACTGCAGTGGTTAAGAAGAAAATAGATTGACGCGTAGTGAGCTAAAAAGTACTTTGCGGTGATTTTTAATTAAAAAAAAAAAAGTCCTCCGTTCATTATTTTTCCTAACAGGAAATTTATTTATTTGACCGGATTTTTAAGTAACATAGGCTTTCTGGAGGTAAATTAGCAGCACGAGTATGAATTCTTCTTCTTTTTCTCTTTTTTTTTTTTTTTTTTAATTTATGATCCATTTTGTATGGTCTCAGCAGTTGAATGACCTCATTACTAATATTTGTTGTAAAAGTGAAGCTTGTTTGCCAACCAATAAACAACTGATCACGATTTAGAAGATATTGTATGTATGTACTGTACAATTAATCTCTCTTTTTTTGTCGTTGTTGTTCCTCTCTCCATTAATGTCTTCAGTATGAGCCTCCACTCCTTTACAGCATGGGTGAGCAATGCCGAAGAAAGGAGGCCTAAGCTGAGAAATTTAAGCACAAAGGTTATGCAGCTGTGGCTGACTAGAAAAATCAGGCTGGTGGTACTTGTTTAGGGGCAAGAACAACACTGGTTAACATTTGTTGCAGGTGATTCTAGGTCTGTTTTGTGCCTACTGTATAAAGTAGCCAACGACACATGGATGATTTGAGTATAGTGTTTCACGTGTCATATCTTTTAATCATTGTAATTTTTTTCTTTTATTAATTTTCTTATTTTCTTTTTTTTAATTTGGGTTTTCTGAGATTAAAAACTGCTGGTAGCATGTCAAAGAGTAAAACAAGTCCCCGTTAGGCCTTCTTGGTCGTTGTTTGCTGTCTCTTTATTTTTTTGCTCCGGGCCTATGCCAAATGCCCTCAGCATACTTGGCCACACCATTCTTCCCACCCCACTTCTGCCAATGGCCCACTGGCACTTTGCTGTTCTCCTCCAGACTCCCCCTTCAAATCCCTTGAGTGCAATCAGGAATACAGAAAGCCACAAAATAGACTGGAAAGGTTGACAGGAGAAATAACCACCTCTGGATATGACTGGTAATGAATTTTCAGTGATTTTTTGCAAAGCCCTCCCATGGCCTGGGCTTAGAGGCTTGGTGCTGCCTCCATCTAAACTGTGCCTATCCAAGTCTTATCATGCTGGGTAAAAGCCAGAAGGCTTGGAGCAGGTGGGTGTGGCACCTGTTGAACAAGATATTCCCAATGCTGGAGCAGCAGCAGATCAGTGGAGCAGTTCCACCCCATCCCGGGGCTGTCCTCGCCCTGGGGCAGTGCTGCTCGGTGCTTCTCAGCAGAGTCTCGTTGGGCAGGAGAGACAGGGGTGGCGGTATTTGGTGATATTCATGGCCTTCTGGTTCCAGTCACCTGAGTCCTTGCTGCAGCCACTCTGGCCAAAACATCTTGGGGAACAAACTCCACGTGGGACCAAGCACTGATCACAGCAGTGCCTCTTGCTGGGTCTAGGTTTCAACAAGGGAGCATTTCCTGTTGGAATATTGGGGAATCACCTGATTTCATAGCAGAGTAGCCACTGGCCAGCCAGGTTATGCTCTTGCTCTTGATGCTGCCTCCCTGTTTCATTTTATTATCCCTACCAGCAGCAATGGAAGTGTATAATGCATGGTGGATCCACTCTTGCAGGTACAGCAGGTTATTCACACCCGTGTGGTCACAGAAATTCATGTAGCAGCCCAAGAGGCTGCTGAGGCTTTACATAACTGAAGTACCTCTTATTTTGGGGAAAGTAAAAACTCTTTTATTGTATTAGACTCAAAAAAGTTTTTCAGGGGTATGGTAGAATTGAGTTCATGCAGAGGGTGAGATACACCCTAGTAAATACCATGCTAAAGTGGGAGGCAGGTGATGAGCACAGCACTTACCATTGTTTCGGAAACTCTGCAGGAACAAACCAGTGGTGGATTTGCTATGGGATGGTTTTGTCCTACTGAAAAATCTTTACCTTCTTTTACTACAAATGGTCATTCTTCCCCAGCCCTTTTATGTATTTCAGGCTTATCAGTGTGCAGGCTGGTTTTCCCTCCTTCTCCATCCCTTCTCTTTGCCAGCTTACCCATGCCTATTAGCACTTTGATTGCAAAAAATGCTGCTTATTTTCAAGCTGATTATTTCTGTTCCCAGATATAATCTGCTCTGACATCACAAGATTCACTGTTGGTGCTTCTTATGGCTTAGGAAACAGCTGGATCACAAAATAGAAGGAAAATATATATGAATTTTATTAAGCCAAAAATGGTTTAAGACTGTAATACAGTGGAGATGTTTTATGAAGGGGAGCAGGACACAGATTATTTTTGGCATTTTGTTCCCCTTGAGAACAGATTTTGTTGTGTCACATAGTTGATTATGGGCATGGTGAAGGTTGTTGATAAGTAGCTCACTATATACAATTCTTATGTGACTGGCAACAGTGTCTTCTGTGGAGACTGCAGCATGTGAAAATCAACTCACTGTTAAGTCCTTGGTGCCTACAATTCTCCTGGGGTATGAGGGAGAGCTGCAAAACTTCTAAGGCATTTCTTAATGCTGAGCCAATGCAAGAATGTGAGAAAAAAGCTTGATGAAAATGCAGTAGTGATTATGATGTTAAATCCACACTCATGCTTGGGGCACATTACTGTGTAGGCTGGGTTGAAGGGGATAATCAGCCCTGTACTCAAGGGATATTTTCTAGGGCTCCATTTAACAAAACAAAAAAAAGAAAACCAAACCAGATTTGCCTTATAGGGAGAAGATTAAAGCTTCATCATTCAAGTGCAACAAGCATCCCACTTTGAGCTGAAAACAGACAAAATAGAGGCAAGTAGGTAGTGCTTGATCTGATGAAACATCAGCTGATACACAGACCATTTTCTGAAACACAGGGCCACCTTGGAGAAGCTTGAGCTGCCAGACATGTTTAGAGTGAGGATTGTTCATGTTGATCCATTGATGGAGTTGCCCCTTCAGAAAGCCTTTCTTGCAGGTGAGGAGAGTGGGATGGAGAAGTGCAAGACTCCATGCTTTGCATTTTCTTGAAAATCATCTTAGGATGCTTTACAAGTTATGAATCCCTTTTTTCACTCACTGCTAATTTGTGCAGGACTGGGTTATTTTTCCAGTGTAATCCCGTTGCAGACCACCCCATAGAGAGCTAACACATCAGCTTACTGCTCAAGGACACCTTGACTACAGCAGGCAATTCCCACCCATTTTCTGGCAAGAGCCAGAAGAGATCTCCCTGTAAGATCTCCCTGAAACAGGAAGGAGAAATACAAGGCAAAAGACATGCCAAGGAAGACCATGTAGGCTGGAGGGTTGCTGGGAATGGGGGGTATTCATCACAGCTTTGGAGGCACTCTGTAGGCAATAGTGCTTACCATGGTCCTGTTCATTTCTGCCTGTTGATTGCTTTTAATTCTTTGACATCTGTAGTTGTTTACCAATCTTTTTCCTTCCTCCCTTGCCCCAGGTAATAAGGAGTGGGGTACCCCAGAGGGCCAGGGCAAACAGTGGTGATGGGGGCAGGCACTGAGCTCCTGGGGGTCCTTTTGTGTCTGTGTGTCCCTGTTGCCTGCATCCCCCTTCCCTGACCAGCTGGCCTCTCTGTCACACCCCCATGTGCCCTTGATCTCACTAGGTTATGAAGAATGTAATACCCTGCAGAATTGCCTAGTCAACAGGGATAGAAAGATATCTCATCTTATTAAAAACCTGTCTCAGGAAAGCCTAAGAGCACAAGCTTGGTCATCTGTCACACCCTGATCTCCTCCTTACCTTTAGAAAGAAAAGTACTTTATTTTTAGCTATCTGCTGCATTCAGCTACACTCTATGCAAATTTTATTTAATGAATATTTTAGGGTTTAAATAGTCTGGGCTCATGAACATTATATAAATGTCATGTTGTTGCAGGCTCTCTGGTAATGGCGTGGAGGACATCCTGTGCTGTACAGCTGAAGCCAGATAAAATCTGTGATTAGTGCTGCCAGGGAAGGCAGCCATGGGTTGTTCAGTGACTCTCCTGGGTGGGGGCATTAGCAGTGCAGTCAGGGGAGGGCACTGCAGTACCCCTGCGAGGCAGCAGCACGCCCCTTTCGCGACTGAGGGACATTTCGTTCGGCACAGGTAGCTGGCTTAGCGCCACTTTTGCTCTTCCAAAGGCTTTGGCAAGCCCTGGGGATGCATGGGTCATACACCAGATCATTTGTCATCCCAGTTCAGAAAGAGGCAGTCTCTTTAAAGCTGAAATATCAAGACTTGCCAGGATAGCTTGGAAGTCTTCCTTTTTCACATCAAAATAGCTTTTTACAGGTGCTTACTGTTTATTGTATTTGGTACGCCAGACAGATGGTGATAGTCTTCTACAGGAAAATGCCAACAACAAAAAAAATTCATCCTAAGTATTTTCTGTCTTTTCATTTCTTTACCCTCCACATATTTTCTTTTCTTATATTTCTACTCCTTAAATACACTGTACACTTGTAAAAACCCAAGCTAAAACCTCAATAAATAAACAAAAAATATTGGTATACAGAGCAATTATTATGCGTTGGAAGCAAATGCTTGGTATTTTAGCAGTGCTGCTTAAAACCACAAACAGCAACTTTGAAAACACAAACATAGCTGCTGCACAACCTCCTCTGCTGGTGTGATGGCAATATTTGTACAGATGACCAAATATCTCAGACTGCCACTTACAATGGACTGCATCTTGTGTTACAGCTTTGGAAAGGTTATTTCCAACAGAAGGGTGCTTGGTGGGTAAATTACTGCAATAATAAAACTGTTTTCAGCCTATCTTCTCCCACTTCTCCTGGAGGCATCTCAGGCAGAGTTAAATTTGGGTCCCTGTGGCAGAAAACTTCACTCCAGAAAACGGCCCTGCAGCCTTTGTGTCCCACCGGCAGCAAAGGCTTCGTCTTTCAATGGGCACGAGTCTGTGGTAATATCCACTGAAAAATGGCTTTGGAGGATGAGTGTTGAAAACCAACCAGTCAGCAAACTGGGTGGAGGATGTCTGGGTATTCCACTTGAGAAGCAGAAGCATGGTGCCCCAAGCATCTCTGAGGATTTGGTTGCACAAAAGCTGCAAAGGGGGTATGGGAAAATGGATTTGGGTGGGGGGATACTAAAAGAAAGGGCCCCTAATTTCTGTCAAGGCTTTGTCCTCTGGCTGAAATATGCCAAAAAGAGTTTCTCAGGTGCTTTCTGTAGGCAGCTGGAGAGAGGTGCAAGGTCATGGGGAATTAGAACCGTGTGTGATGGAAGGCACATTTGAGGCAAGCTGAAGTTTTGCTGTGGCTATTGGGTGCCTGCTCTGGCCAGTGTCTGGTTTCCACACCTTTAAAAAAAAAGTTTA